CAACAAATGATATAATAAATAATCGAAACATTATAACATTAGCTTACAACAAATGATGTAATGAATAATCGAAACATTATAACATTAGCTTACAACAAATGATATAATAAATAATCGAAACATTATAACATTAGCTTACAACAAATGATATAATAATAATCGAAACATTATAACATTAGCTTACAACAAATGATGTAATGAATAACCGAAACATTATAACATTAGCTTACAACAAATGATATAATAAATAATCGAAACATTATAACATTAGCTTACAACAAATGATGTAATGAATAATCGAAACATTATAACATTAGCTTACAACAAATTATATAATGAATAATCGAAACATTATAACATTAGGTTACAACAAATGATATAAGCCGAGACTGTTTTGAAACTTTAAATTTATACTTTATTTAACACCTTCTAATATTTACTAACATCTTAACTTCCACTTCACCACTTTACTACAATATTGTTAAAGCTATTTCCTAAACGATGGCTTAGTCAAGTTGTATTTTGTTATCTTTAAACACTTGTGTTGATCTACTGAAAGGTTAGATTCGTCAGAATGCAAATATTAGGAAGCTTTCGTCCCACTAAATATAAAATATATTTGCTTAATAGAGTATATTTGCTCAGCTGAGTACTGGGAAAACACAGGTGCTTGGGGTTAATAAAACCTTACTAGTAATTTTAGCTTTATAACTAAACAGTCTGAGGACGAACATAACTGTGTATGTGTGTATAGATTAAAAAACACTATATGGAAGTTGTCCTTTACTCACCACAGTTAACTCATATTTATATAGATATGAGTAGAATAAGTAACATTTTTTAATGATGGGATAAATGAAAAAATCCACTCGAGTTGTTTCTCACCACTAGTAGGCAGTTCAGTGGACTAACTTATTCCATCATCATCACACACAACTCGATGGTGAGATATTCAGCTAACCAGAAATATCCAATATGAGCGAAATGTTTCATACAGAACAGGATGAGGACGTTTGAATGGCAAATATAGGCACACAGTGGAAAGTTCTGAGATAAGCCTTGTACACCATTTTAACACTTTGAACACAAGGTTGAGCTGTGCGTTAAATTCGAGTCTACTTGTTTTAAAATATATAGGGTGATAGACGTAATCAGAGAAGTATAGTCTCAGCAATAAAACAGATTAACTCATAATAAATGAATTATCATGGAAAGTGAAGCGAAATATTACTGCATAACCATTTAAGCTTCAGTGTTATGTCTGAAAGCAGGTGTTGTTTTCCAAAACATAATTTTTAATTTCATTTTTTAAAGCTTTAATTTCAATATATTTTATCTTACGCTATTGATTTCAAGTAGGCTCACACACCAAATTTCCAAAAGTATGGAAAGAAAGATAGTCACAAGTCTGATTTTTGAAGTTCAGATGTAACGTCATTCACTCATCATTAGAAGAGGCTTACTGTACTTCTTTGGTTTGCCCTGCAAAACAGTACAGATGATCCGTGCATTGCCACGAAACTAATTTGCTGCAGAGGGAGTAGTGAATCAACAAATAGATTAGACCTCTATGTCACTGATGAATTTTTTTTATTCTCTGAAATTACCTATTTTGGTAGGGAAATGAAAATTTCACAATTACGTTCCATTGACATTGCATGATTTTGACTTTGAATAATTTTTAAACGTAATGTTTAGTTTAAAAACTCGCAAACGCGAAATAATTATATGAACTTTGCGAGCATGAATATATAAATATTTACCAGTGATCGACTTTTTTTTGTTAATAATTTCTTTCAATATGTAATCTCATACTTAGTTTATTCAGAAACAAGCAAGATAAATTTACAGTTGAGTGTGCCTTCATTGTAATACTAAGCTGATTAAGGTTATACTAATCTGGTCATGTAATACGAAGATGATCATGTAATAGTAAACTGATTAATGTAATACGAAGATGATCATGTAATAGTAAACTGATTAATGTAATACGAAGATGATCATGTAATAGTAAACTGGGTCATGTAATACGAAGATGATCATGTAATAGTAAACTGATTAATGTAATGCTAAGATAATCATGCAATAGTAAACTGATTAATGTAATACGAAGATGATCATGTAATAGTAAACTGATTAATGTAATGTTAAGATAATCAATGTATAATTAAACTAATAATGGCAAAGCAATACCAAATAAACTATCATTGCATTTATATTTCCCAGACCATTAATACATACACAACTTGGCCAGTTTAATGATGTCTTAAAATAGCTGATGATATTATTAAAACTTATTTTAAATATAAAAATAAAGCGTAATAAATATTATAATATCATTCTATCAGTGCCGAAATACAACATGGACTCTTCTTTTTCCCCAGAGGAACTGTGCATACATAAAAATTCAACTTATATCTCCCCAATGGGCTGTATACACAAGCATATGAAACAGTATTTCCCCCAAGAGACGATTCACACATACACATATTTTCACACAGGGGTTTTACAAACACATACATGATTTTTTATAACTTGGTATTTCCATTTAATATTTTTAAATATATTGCATTTATATATTTTAGACTTCTAACAATATTTCGTTAATTCTTGAACATTTGAAAGCTTTGATGCTGTCACTGAGTAATACAATATTTGAAGATTTCAAAATATTCCGTATTTCATCATTACTTGAAGTAAGAAAGAATATGAAGTTGGGACATTTCTTTCGTTTCTATTTGAACAATGATAAAAACAAAAGACTGCTAGATTTCTAATCGTCCCAGCTCCTTTCCTTAGATTACGAACCCTTCTTCATGAATATGTGGGGATTATTATATGTATAATAATCCCTGTAGACTCCCACTGGAGCATAGGGCCCCAACAACACCTCGCCGACGGAAGTTGTTGTTGCAGTAATTTTTTAGCAGGTTGGTTTTTACGGGCGGAGTTGCTTCTTCTTTCTCATCTTGGACTTGGGACCAGGCAATGGTGGTGGCATCCCTGCCGGGGAACGAACCCGGTACCTTTGGATTAAAATCCAACGCGCTATCCACTGCGCTATAGGCAATGTTTAAATATACAGTACCATACCCCAACGTTCGTTTGTTAACCCTAAGCGTACATTAGCGCGTATACATGGACTTCTGAACAGAAAACACGAAAATAGAGACGCAGACCACAAAACCGGCAAACGATATTTAATAACAAAGGAAGAAATGTGAAGTGCGCTAATATAAGTAATCTATCTAAGAAAAGCTAACACTAATAATAGCTAAGAACAAAATAATTACGTGAAATTTCATTTTAACATCTTTTTTTAGTAAATCCAAATTGCAAATGATTAATTTGAACACATTCCAAAACTTTTTCCTAATGAATATTTGATAAGTGTGGTTGTTCGAATGCAGAAAGTGCTAACTGTGTGTAATTCACTAAATTTGAGGATATTTACAAATGTTTTATTAATGTTAGTGAAGTTAATGTATATAAACAAACACATAAATTCCTTCATGCACAGATAACTTACGATCATGACCACGCTCTTCGTCCAGCACCTTGGACGTCTTTCCTCCGTGTGACTGGTTACTTCTCCAGTCCTCTTACACATTTTTTAGAATCTCTTGTGAATTGTTTGTTTGTTTTTTGAATTTCGAGCAAAGCTACAAGACGGCTATCTGCGCTAGCCGTCCCTAATTTAGCAGTGTAAGACTAGACGGAAGGCAGCTAGTCATCACCATCCACCGCCAACTCTTGGACTACTCTTTTACCAACGAATAGTGGGATTGACCGTCACTTTATAACGCCCCCCACGGCTGAAAGGGCGAGCATGTTTGGTGTGACGGGAATTCGAACTCGCGACCCGTAGATTGCGAGCCGAGCGCCCTAACCACCTGGCCATGCCGTGCCTCTCTTGTGAAATGCACACAGTTTTGTTTTTTCATAACTGAACTTGACGCAAACAGCGATCTCCAGTCTGGGTGTCTATTCAGTATGGAATATCGTAAAAATATCTCGATGTATTGAGCTAAAAATATTGACGTATTACGAATATAGTGTCTTTAACAAAGAGAAGTGTGGTTATGGTACCGTATCTTTAAATTCTGCCTTTTTAATAGTATCTCAAGCAGGACGCTTTTAATGTTTCACTTTCTGCCTTAGCCATTAATTTACACGAAAAGTATCTAATTAGCTCTACAATATATATATAAACACTTAAATCAAACATTTTTATTACACCTGTAAAATGTGTGTGAACACTGATTCTCAAGTACATGGTTTTATTAATCAAAAAAAAAAGAGTTAATTTTACAGAAAATTCCAAAATTTATGAACGTTAGTTAAATATGCATTTCAGGTTATAGCTGGTTTCTTACCTGGGATTTGCAGTAATAATCTTTGGACACTCCAAGAACAGTTTCCGCCCAAAGCTGGAATAATGGTAACTTTTTGTTTCCCAGTGGATACCTTTAAATCACAGTAAATAAGGAAAAAACAATTTTTGTGTACAAATTTTCAACCGTATGTGTTTGTTTTTTACACGTCTATGTTGATTTTTAAAGCTGAATCTTCTAAATCAAACATAAAATCTAAGCATTACTGTGATTGGATGTGAATCGGTTATAATAATTTAGTATTTCAGAAATAAACCGAGTTGTTTGTCTGTCTGTCAGTGTTTAGACATCTGTGGTTGTTGTAATAAACTGGCTGAACAAATGTCGATGAAAAATGGTAGAGAAACAGGTGATCGAGTTTAAATGGATAAGCAAACAGAGTTGAGCAGCTATAATCTTTTGCGTGGAATTTTCTATCAATCGGGCTTGGACCTGTTCGAGTTGATAAGCCAATGTAATTTTTACTACGTGAAACTGACGCAAAACGAACACATCCAGTAGACCTTCATTGCAAAATGCTCACACTCACGCTTTTTCTCCTTCACCTTGAAGCCAACGTAATAAATCCTACGTGAAACTGACACAAAACGAACACATCCAGTAGACCTTCATTGCAAAATACTCACACTCACGGTTTTTCTCCTTCACCTTGAGGCCAACGTAATACATCCTGCGCCAGTTGTACAACTGTACACTTGTACACCATGTTGTATAAATCATGAACAAAGAACGATTGTGCAAGATTAATTTTCAAGTTTGAAAACACTAATTGATTAGCGAACGAGAGTTTCTATTTTTATATTGACAGTAAGTACGTTAGTTTGATATCTAAAAAAGAAACTAACGCTATAAAGATTGAGACAAGATCCAACGACAGGTTTTATCTTAGTACCATTTATATGGCTAAGTTTCATCAAATATCATAATATTTGAAATTCGCCTTTAGAATAAATCAACTTAGAAATTTAACAAATGAAATATAAGGTTATTACATAATTTCATTACCTGGTTCCAGTAAAATGGATGACATTTTGGTCAAGGTCAGCAACAAACTGGGAATCTTTGTATCCCCATCCGTTCCATTTCACAACTTCTTGTCTGCGGATAATCAATTAATGAAACATGATTAATGAAAGAAAAACATATATAAAAAATACAGAACTGTGAGTGGCTAAATGGTGAGATAGCTGGACCATGCATTTGCGGTTCGATCGTTCGTGTCTCGTTATCGCAAGTAATAAAATCACCCTCCGCACTTTAAGGTCGTGGGTGCGTTATAAGGGTGAAGGTCATATCCTACTACTCGGCCAGACATGAGTAGCTTTTGTGTAACTTTGCGTGATATACAACAAAAAATACAAACCAACAAAATTTTGAGTGAATATCCAAAAACAAACAAGTATTTTTTACAAGAATAAATATCTTTCGAAAAGAACAGTGGAATAATTTTTAGAATTTATACTCTCATCTTGTATTCACTCAATAGTATTACTCTGCTGGAGGTTGTAACTGTCGAATTCAAACAGGTAGTAAAACAACATAATTATACTCGAATATTTCATATTTCACTGGAACTCAATCTTTAATATGCAACAAATGCATGTTCTTTAGTTCTGTTGTTTTGTTCTAAAAGAAACATGTAATTGTTTCGTGTACACGCCTGGTATATGGAAAATCTGTATACTTAACATTCATGCTTGTTCCACGTGGCTTATTCTC